CCCCAAAACCCCAAAACCCCAAAACCCCTTAATCTAAAATGATCGTTATTTAAAGAAATGAGATAATAAATTCAAAAATTTAAACAGTCTAATTAAAGATGAAAAAGAGAAATCCTAATTTGTGCTAAAATTGCAAATGCTCTACCAAAGCAAAATCTAATAACTTATAAGCATCGAGGAGAGCTTGTGATTGCGAGTCAAAGTCCTCAAAACTTAGCAAAAGCAACAATTCTAGATACTCTGATAAGTCAAACTCACAAACAAGAAATATTAGATAGAATTCATAGAACAGAGCTAATTCACTTAATAATCCTAACATTTTTACTACTTATGAATAAAGATCCCCTAGAATTATTATGGAAACCTCTTCTGGACTAACAAATTTGAGAATTGGTGGAGGGGAATTCCCAAATATATAGAGTGCTAGAAATCCTTCCTCATAAACATTCTTTTCAAATGACAATATAAATATGCATTTATAGCCTACGATACTTTAACCTTCAGCTACATTAAATTCTTAGCATTATGCAAGCATCAATTCTCAAATGGGATATGGAACTCCTTATTAAATGTATAATACCTCCTCACCATTTAGATAGTAAACTCAAAATGAGAATCTATACCAGGGTTAAATAAGATCTTTTTCCCCAGCTTAAAAAGAAAGTACATTAACTCCATCTAAATAGATACTTTCTCATTATGATAGAATAGTTTAGGAATTTGAACTTTATTCTAGATAGAGAGCCTTAAATTTAAGAGAAGGTCTCAGCAAAATAATAGATGGCCTTAAAACTGATGAAATTATAGCTGCAATGAGGGAAGACCCATTATCATAAAATTATGCCTTCCAAAGAATGAAAGAAATCATTGATAATGCTCTGCTTTCAGAAAGTGAGCAAATAGTTGCCAATCTCAGAAGTGAAAATGTTCTCTTAAGAGAAAAAATTCTCATTCTTGAGGCTGATGGCTAAAAGAGGATAAGTATTGATTAGGAGAAAATCGACAAGAAATTCAAAACTATATAGTCGAGAAAGAATCATTACAAGCTGTAACTTAAGCAATCTTAAACTTAAATTACCTAACTTTTAGACAAGTTTAAGGATATGGAATTAGAGGCACAGAAACAGTTAAATGAATTTGACTATAAACTTGCACAAAAAGACGGAGAACTTGCCAGATGTGAGAAGGTTTTATCAGAAGTAAGAGCAATGCTCAGTGAAAAAACAATGAATCAAAATCGACTTGAAAATAACCTTAGTAATGAGGTTACAGTATTGAGTGATAGGATAATGAGCTTGGAAAGAGAAAGAAATGAAATCATAGATAAGTACTAGAAATATGGTGATGAATTCAAGCAACTCATGACTCAAGAGTAAAATCTTACCTCTCAAAAGGTTTGCAAATATAAAGAAAAGATCAAGGAGTTAAAAGAATCGAATGATCGACTCTTGAACATTCAAAGAGAACTTGAAACACAAACTAGAAGTTATGTTAAAGAAATAGATGATCAAAGAGTTAGAATAGATGAGTTAGTCAAATAAACTCAGGAAAAAGGCTATAAACTGAAAGATGTGGAAGAAAAATAAATAATATAAGAAAAAGATTTATCAAGTCAGCTTAGAGAGATGAAGTAAAAGTACAAAGCTCAGATCTAGTAACTTTAAGCATAATTTGAGAAGGCTTTGCAAGACAAGTGCCACTAAGTAGAAAATGAAGCAAGAGATAAAGTAATTGCTCTTGAAAATGAAAAGAAAGAGATGGAATTAAGATTCTTAAACTTACAATAAACTGTTGAAAGACATTAAGAAGAAGATTAGCAAACGCAGATAGTCTAGTCAAAACAAATGGAGAAAAAACTTGAAAAAATCTCCTAGAAATTTGAAAAAGAGATTGCTATAAAACTTGCAGAAGCTGAGGAGTAGTTTAAGGAACTCGAGTCAAAACTCAAGAAAGATCATAAAAATGAAAAGAAGGCCATAATTGCAGAACAAGAATTTATTCAATAGTAAAATCAAGAGGAAATTCTACAATTATAGGAAAGATATGAAGGTGAATTCAGAGAAATGAGTTATAAACTAAGAGAGGAAATAGACATTTTACAAAAAACCACTCAAGAGCAAAGAATCAAAATAGCTGAGCTAACTATATTAGTGGACACTAGCAAGGCTGAGGCTGAGAGATAGACAAAAGAATGTGAAAAAGTTTAAGCTGACTTCAAGGAGACAGTAACTATTTATAAACAAGACATCAAGATACTTGAAGATAAACTTTAATATAAGATCCAAGAGAATGATGATAGAGTTAAAAATGCTTTAGATTCAGCCATGAAAAACCAAAATCTTGAACAAATAGCATCTTAATACGCTCACGAGCTAGATAAGAAGCAGCAAGAAATATCGAATCAAAGAGATGCCTACACAAGGCTTAACAATAAATACGAGAAAATTATTGAGGATAATAAGTTAACTTAGGGAGAAGTAGTGTAGATTAAATAGATCATAAATGAAAAGGATTTTAAGATTAGTAGATTATAAAATCTTAATAAGGAAACCTTATCAAAAGTCATGCAGTTAGTTAAATTATAATCGAATAAATTCAAGTCAGAAGTCGATTTCTTAAAAAGACATTTCAAGTCAGAACTTGAAATGAATAAGAAGCAAACTGAGTCTTAACTGCTAGCTATAATAAGCAAGGCTAGAGAGATCTCCTATACTTGGAAGTTCAAACTAGAGAAGCTATAGTATCACTATGAATAGAAATTCTAAAAAGAGTTCAATGCTCGTGAGATTGAGTGGGAAAAAGTTTGGGAAAAACGTGAAGATGTGATTGCTTCGAAGGAGAAGACTATTAAAGATTTAGAAGGAGAAAAGATTATCAATCGAGAGACAATTGCAAGATTGGAAATAGAGCTTAATAACTACAAAGCGTAGCTGAAGTAAACATAAAAGGATTTAACAAAGTAATATGAAGAGGTAAAGCAAAAACTAGTCATCAACGAATAGAAATAAGTTGAGCTTTAGCAATCTTACAAAAGATAAGAAGAATAGTTGGTATCCTAATAGAGATAGCAATTGCATGAAGTCAAAGCTCAGTTGTAGTAAAAGGCATCTGAGGAATTAAGAAAACTTGAGGTTTAAATGAGTGAATACAGAGAGAGAAACAAGCAAAAGGTGGCTGACTTGGCCTAGCACATTCAAGATAATTAAAATAAGCATAGATAAGAGATGATCTCCCTCAAGCAAATCTATGAGGAAAAGATCAAGGTGCTAGAAATTGACAACGATGGCAAGTAAAGGTCACTTTATGAGATCCAGAACTAACTTAACATGCTGAGTGTTAAGCATGAGCAATTTGTCCGAGACAATGATACACTTGAGAAGCAGGTGCTGACTCTATCTCAAAGTGAAAGATCCTACTTAGAACAGTTGACTCAAATTAAAACAAGTCATGAAAAACTATAACATGAAAGAGATGATTTATCCAAAACGAAGACAATTCTTGAGAAAGAATTGCACGAATTAGATACTTCTAATAGAACTCTCTAATTGCAGATTTACCAAGCTGAGAAGAAACTATTGCAGCAAAAGAAAGATCTTAAATCTAAAATGAGAAAACTGCATCAATCGAAGTAGAGGGAGATCTAGGAAGTATAGTTCCTTAATGATATTCTAACGAATAATGTGTCTTCTGCAAGTAAAATGAACAGAAAGGCATCAATAGCTTCTCCTGACTTCAAAAGAGATTTGAACAGGAATTCCTCTGGGTATACTCCTATTTATAATACTCATAGAGGTGAAGTGCATAGAATGAACCATAGCTAAGCTGGCTATGGAGCTATTCTGTCTGAGATTAATAACATGATAGATCAAAACCAGCTTAGACTATCAGGCACTAAAAGCCAAGCCTACTTGAGAGATTCAAGTTCAAAAGTTAGAGTTGCTAAAATCCTAAACTCTCCATCTGTTAATCAACTTAACCCCTCAATGACTTTTTATCATAAAGGCATTATGAAATCACCATCTAGCAAGAGTTCAACCACCACAGAGAACACTCATGCTAATATGAGAATCTCAGACCTTAAGCAATAATGATTTAATTTGACTGAGCTGCTAATGATTTATTATTATTATTATTTGATAATCTCTATTTCACTTAAATCTATTCTATGGGGTTTTGGGGTTTTGGGGTTTTGGGG